GCAAACACTAGGGTATGGACTCTACTAGATGCCAAACATTCTCTATTCTTAACTGGACCTCCTGCTTGAGCAGTTTTGTCAGTTGGTGCACATTTCACACGGGAGTGGGCGACAACCTCACCACATGTTCAACAGGGTTGCAATATGGTGAGTTTGGGGGGCCAAAGTAGTGTGTGTAATTCATTATCTTGTTCCTTCAATCATTCCCAAGTGAGTTTTGCATGATGACACAATGAATTATCATGTTAAAACATGGCATCATTGTCAGGAAATATAGCATGGAGATACTGGTACAGATAATCATCTAACAGGTTCTTGTATCGTTCACTATTCAAGGATTGTGGAATGATAATCAATGGTCCTACACCTTGCCAAGAGAGATGGTGTTCCACAAGCTGGTGTCAGCAGCTTGTGGAACCCCAACTCTGCAACCAGGGGATATGGCTTCATGCTATTTACACTAATTTGGACCAGGCCATTGGTATGGCTCAGTTGAAACAGGATTCATCATTCCATACAACTATGTTTTCTGCATGTCCAAGGTCTAATGACACCTTTCCCTTGCCCATAAGAGGTATTGTTTGCAATAACACATGGTCAACAGAGGCATCCATGCAGGTCATCCACTATTGAACTCCAGCTGACACAACGTACATCACAAGGTCATTGTTGAAACATATCTGCCTTGTCTAGTATATTTTTTTTGTTTTTATATTTTTCAATATATTTATTTTGTNGGAATTAAATTTCTTTGATTTATTTTCATATAATGTTTTATTTGTATATTTATTTTATGCAGCTATATATATGTATATACTTGGGTCATGTAAAATGTTCTTGGACAAAAAGGGGTCAAGAATGGAAAAAGATTAAGAAGCCCTGCTATAGAGTGATGATAAATTAATCTAATTTGTTAAATTGGATTATTGGAATAACTTTTTTGAGGTTCATTACATATATATTATGATTTCAAAGAAAGTTGATAATCTTAAAATAATTTTTAAAAAACTTTCATTATCTGTTTTTTACTTTAATTTTGAAAGTAAAATTAATCACATGAAACTAACTTGACAAGAAATTGTGTGTTTTAGTATTAAAAAATACTATTGTGATCAGAAGGTATTAGAAACAGTTCATTTAAACTAGTGATGTCAAAGATATGGCCCACGGGCCATGACTGGCCTTCGAGGCAATTAGTTGCAGCCCCGACATTAATTCAATAATGCTATTTGTTTATTTTTTATTATGTTGATACTAAAGAAAATGTGATATTTTGTATTTAAAAATATCACATTTTCTTTAATAAACATAATTATTATTATTTTTATTTATTTATTTATTCATATTACTTAGAGATATTAATTTTATTTGATTTATTTTTGTGTTTAATTTCTTGTTTACATTATATTTTCTCAATTTCATCTTTTGAACTTCAAAGTCCGTCTAAACAAGATTATTTATTTTTGCTGGAAAAGTACAAATGTTGTTTTTTTTTATTTTGTTGTCAAATCTTGGGTATTAAAAAATGAATTTTTTGATTTGGATACTTTTGGTCTACTTTTCAGAAAATTTTTGTCCATAAAAGCTAAAATCATCTTGCAACATTATTCAGTATTCAATACACTTCCATAATTAGAGACTTTGTTGTGTTTTCTTATTGGTGAGCAAGTTCGGTCAAATAAACTGCAATAGTAAAAAGTTTTCAATAAATAATGCCAGTAAAAAAAAAAGTTGATAGGTAGTGCTGATTTTTCCAGCCAAAGTGGAAAATTTGGTATTTTATTATTGAATGGAATAGTAAACCACTTCGTTTGATTTGAAATAAGATTATTGCTGGTTGTAAAGAATTTAATGTGAAAAGACACTATGAAACAAATCATAAAGACAAGTTTGAGTTATTTACCAACGAAATTAGGCAAGAAAAACTGGCATCTTTGAAAACTAAACTTATGGGGCAGCAATCATTTTTAAAAAATTCAAAAACTGACAGTGAGAATGCATTGAAAGCTAGTTATTCGATCGCACTAAAGATTGCAAAAAAATCAAAAGCTTTTAGTCATGGCGAATTTTTAAAAGAATGTATGCTAGACATGGCTGACATTTCATTCCCATCATAGAAACAAGTCATTCAAGAAATACCCCTGACTAGAAATACAATTGCTTCCAGAGTAAATGAATTGGCAGAAAATTTGGACTTTCAACTTAAACATAAAATTAAAGAATTTATCTGGTATTCCTTAGCAGCCAATGAAAGTACAGATATCAGAGATACATCACAGCTTACTGTATTTATTTGTGGAATTAATGAAGATTTTAACATCATGGAAGTGTTGCTGCAGTGCAAACCATTGAAGAGTACTACCACAGCTTAAGATATTTACTCAGCAATTGAGCAATTAATACCAAATTATGACTTGGATTGGGGTAAATTCTGCAGTATTATCACAGATGGGTCACCATCCATGGTTGGTAAAAATGCTGGTGTTGTCACAAAAATACGCAACAAAATTTTAAATGAAATTAAATGTGAATGACCCAAATTCATTGGAATTCACTGTATTGTACATCAAGAAGTCTTGGCCTCTAAAGTGCTGAAAATGGAGCATGTAATGAATCCCATAATTAAAACAGTTAATTTTATTAAAAGTAGAGGACTAAATCACTGCCAATTCACACAATTTTTAAACGATCTTGATGAAAAATGTTCAGATATTCCCTACTTTGCAGAAGTATGGTGGCTTAGTTGTGGATCAATGCTTAAACAATTTTTCGAATTGCGTAAACATGTTACGTTTATGGCTCAAAAGGGCAAACCGATGGAACACAATGATGAATGATGGCTTGACTTTGCATTCTTAGTAGATATGACAGAACACTTGAATAATTTGAACGTTAAACTTCAAGGAAAAAATGTAATTGTTATGCAACTGTACTCAAGTGTTCAAGCTTTCAAAATAAAATTAAAGTTGTGGAAATCGCAGCTGTGAGAACAAAAACTTGACCATTTCCCTAGTATTCGTGAAATCGGCATATACAATGCAGATAAATTAGCAGATTTTTCTTACAGTTTGCTTGATCTTATTGCTGAATTTGATAGTCGTTTTGCAGATTTTCGCGAGCTCAATACCTACGACTTTCCTCTTTTTAATGATCTGTTTATGTTCGATGTTGGTAAAGCACTGACTTACTTGCAAATGGAACTAATAGATTTGCAGTGTGATACTGCTTTAAAAAGCAAGTTGACATTTTGGCATTTTATGCAAAGTACTTCAAAAATCAAAATAGCTGCCCGCATTTTATGCATGTTTGGAAGTTCATGTGTGTGTGAACAGTTGTTTTCAACAATGAAGATTAATAAAGCTAAATACCATTCAAGACTTACAGATGAACATCTTCAGTCCATTTTGAAAATCAATACAACATCATTGACACCAAACATTGAGGAGATAATGAAGCATAGAAGAAGTCAAGTTTCTGGATTCTCAAAATAATATTTTGGTTTAATACATCTCTACTTAAAAAAATGATATTTTTTTTCTTTGATAAAATCATTCTTTATATACTTCTTATTTATACTTAGTATTACATTTGCATTTTATTTTTAATCTGGCCCGCTATCATACTTGAGACAAAAAATTGGCACTTAAGGAGTTTGAGTTTGACACCCCTGATTTAAACTGTGTGCATGCAAGAGGATGCTGACATTTTTTTTGTTATTTTGTTAACTGGTACGGCTTCATTGACATCTAGCATCAATCCATATGTCATCATCTGTTTTTGTTTGCAAATAAACACTTGTTTTGTGTGTTAAGAATTCTTGCAGTGGCAATTTTTCAAAATGTTGAGTGTAATTAAGCAAAGAATGTGCATTAAATTTTTTTTTCACAACAAAATTACTGCTACAAAAATGTAAATGTTGCAAAAGCATTTGATGATGATAGTCTATCAAAAACAAAAGTTTTCAAGGAAAGCAAAGAATATGTTGAAGATGAACTATGTTCTGGTAGACCATCCACTTCAACTGATGAACAACTCATCACTCAAGTCAAATAATTGGTGCTCAGTGATCATCATTTAACAATTAGGGACATTATTGAACATGCTCCAATATCAGTTGGATCTTGTCAAGAAACTTTAAAAGATCATTTGGGCTTGCAGTGTCACTTCCCTAATCATTCCAAAAACATTGAAATTTTTTCATATACATGTTCAAGTGACCAAGGAAATACTTTCTCATGGTAAATCGTTTTTAAAATGCATCATCATGGGTGATGAAACATGGATCTATGCTTTGACACCAAAACAGCTCAACAATAAAGTGAATGTCACTTGAAAGGTGAAGAAAGACAGAAAAGATCACGTCAAAGTCAGTCAAAAATGAAAACGGTTAGCATGACCTTGCATGTTAAGTGTTTGCTTCAAGTGTCATAATAATGTGTATCTTGAATTCCTTTCAACTGGCCAAACTGTCGAAAAAGATTATTATTTGAGTGTTTTGTGTCATTTGCGTAAAGCAATTCATAAAAATCATCTAATTTGTGGCGAGAAAATTCATGGATTTTGCACCACAATGCACCTGCTCACAACACTCTTGTTGTTCATAAAGTTTTGACTAAAAATTCAACAAATATGGTTCTGAAAGCTCTGTATTCACCTGATATGGCACTGTGTAACTTTTTCCTAATTTCTTGACTAAAATTACTACTTCATGGTCACTGTTTTGAGTTGATTGATGTCACAAAACAAAATTTGCTAAAGGGGTTTCACGAAATTGACTTTAAAGTGTGTTTTGAGGATTTGGAAAAAACGTTGGCATAAGTGCATTGCACTGAGACTGGATTACTTTGAAAAGAATGAAATGAATTTTGATAAATAAATTCAAATTTTGTGTTTTATTGAACCTTTCCAATACTTTTTAATCACAGGGGTATTTTGTAGAATAAATATTTTTAGTACATAAATAAATGAAAATTAATAATAAAAATAAATGTCTTTCATACTTGTCACTGCAATATGTCTATTTGATTTTCCTTCATCAATAACTTCCATTACTTCATCTGGACTTGTTACAAATCGTTCAGTTGCTCCCTGTAACACACACAAAAACATATTTAAAAATAGCTATTAAAATTTTAAAAAAGATCATTTTTTAAATATGTTTATTATTATTAAATATTTTTAGTATTTTTGTAGGTATAATAATCTAATAATCTTAAATTTTATAAATATAAATACAATGCTAAATATACAGGCCTATATTAGTACATGTCATCAGTGGTGATATTTGAAATACAGTAGAATCTCGATCAACCGACCCCTCGGTTAACCGACCGTCCTAGTCGGCAAATTTCAAATGTCCGCTAGTGATGTGGCGCTACAATATTTGGCTATGTCTTGGCTACTTTAATATTATTTTTACGTGTTTTAGCTGGCAACACTCATTCGACCATGAAAGGGAGCCAGTATTTAAACGAAGCTTAATTTTCTAATTTTTAACGATACAATAGCGACGATTATTATTTTAAAAAATTTTTGTTAGGCTTAACATCGATGAAAATTCA